CTCTGCTCCGACCACGGCCTGTGCAACCAGGACCTCCAAGGCACCGGCTCTTGCTTCTGCCAGACCGGCTTTGAGGGCGACCACTGCGAGGTCGCCATCGCAAGCAACACGAGCGACGTGCCGCTCGGGGCCATCCTGGGCGCCATCATCCCGGCGGTGGTGATCGCGTTGGTGGTGATGTGCTGCATCATCGTGGGCTGGTGGTGTGGACACGGCGCTCGCGAGGAAAGGAGGACGACTGGGAGGTGGACATGAACGAGCTGGAGATGGGCGAGCAGCTGGGCGCTGGCGGCTTCGGCGAAGTGCACAAGGCCGTGTGGAAGGGCACGGAGGTGGCGGTCAAGATGATGATCTCGGAGAATGCCGGACGCGAGCTGGAGCGGAACTTCAAGGAGGAGGTGCGGGTGATGACGGCGCTGCGGCATCCCAACGTGGTGCTGTTCATGGCGGCATGCACCAAGCCGCCCAAGATGTGCATCGTCATGGAGTACATGGCCCTCGGCTCTCTCTTTGACGTACCTTCCCTCCTCCGTGCATTTACGGCAGTCATGTGTGTGTGCTGGTGGTGAGCTCATCACCCTCTCGCTCCCTCCCTCCCTCTCCCTGTCGGACCACAGCTGCTGCACAACGAGCTGATCCCGGACATCCCGTTCGCGCTGCGCAACAAGATGGCCTACCAGGCGGCCAAGGGCATGCACTTCCTCCACTCATCGGGCATCGTGCACCGCGACCTCAAGTCGCTCAACCTGCTCCTCGACTCCAAGTGGAACGTCAAGGCATGCCGACCCCCCCCACCACACGCACACGCGCACACACACACACCCACACACACACACACCACTGACATCTTTTGGGTGGGAGCAGGTGAGCGACTTTGGCCTGACCAAGTTCAAGGAGGAGATGAACCGCAACACGGCCAAGGAGATCCAGGGCAGCGTGCACTGGACGGCGCCAGAGATCCTCAACGAGGCCATTGACATTGACTTCATGGTGGCCGACGTCTATTCGTTCGGCATCATCTTGTGGGAGCTGATGACGCGGCAGCAGCCCTACATGGGCATGAGGTACGCACGCCACCACTCTCCGTCAATTTTGTCAACGGTGAGAGCGGGCCTGACGGGTGGTGGTGGTGGTGCGATGACCGTGTATCAGTCCGGCGGCGGTTGCGGTGGCGTGCTGAGGGACAACGCGAGGCCGCCGATGCCCGAACTCGAGCAAGCGACGGTGCCGGCCGAGTTCGTGGACCTCATCGGCAACTGCTGGCACCACGACCCGACCATTCGGCCCTCCTTCCTCGAGGTGATGACGCGACTGAGCGCGCTCGGCGGTGAGGGCGGCACGTCGTCGCTCACCAGGACCTCGACCTCGTCTTCGTCGGGCGGCGGCGGAGGCGTTGACCGGTTCGGGTCGTGGACCATGCCATCGGGCGGGTCGGCGAGCAACACCAGCACAGGCTCCTCCAGCTCCGACGGTACGCGCAGCAGCACGCCCACCCACCAGCTCTTTGCCTCATTTTTTCCGGTTGTCTCACGTTGAACGTGCAGGGCGAGGGTCAGCGGCGTCGGCCGGTGGCGGTGGTGCGGCGGGCGGGGTGCGCGCGCCAGAGGGCGAGATGGCGATCGTGTTCTCGGACATCACGCGCGCTGCCTCGTTGTGGGAGTTCAACGCCGAGGCCATGCGCGACGCCACGCTCCTCCACAACGACACCATGCGGTC